CTGTTTAGTCTCAGTTGAATCATACACATTTCAAAAACACATATGCAGTACTTATAAAAGTATTACTTTATATAAGTTTTGACATCCAATAGTGAAAATTATGGATGCCAACATGGTACTCTTCAGTAGTGGAGCTTATTAATGCTTTAAAGCAGGAATGGAGCACAATACCACCAGCTTTCTTCCAGAAATTAGTAGACAGTCTTCCATGACACATTGAAGCAGTCATTAAGGCCAAAGAAGGGCCAATATACTATTAATTTCTTGGAATAAAAACATTTTTTTATACATAACTACCCGTGTCCCATGACTTTTAGATAGTGTGTATTTAAATTAGTTTGTTTAAATTTCTTTCAAGTACAGTACATTTGGTAGTATTAAACCACATTTATTAATACATATAGGCCGCTTAGTTAATGATTGTGCACCATGATGTTTAGATAAAAACAACACACAAAATGCTTTTAATAATTTTCCATTCTTGTAATAGGTATTCTAATATATAATTCATAAACTATTAAGCACTAAGTATAATTTATTTTTTACTTTCTCTTGAACTTGCCTAGTAAGCTATACTTCAATTAAAGCTTTTTCTACAAAGTTTTTAAGAGATCATTATACACGTATTCTGGTGATAAGTGTTAGCAGCTGTGTCTGGCATCATCAAAAAATAAATATTGTGTCCAACCTATCATTCATTTCATCAGTAACCCTGGACAAGGGCAGATCACAGTGAGTCTGTATTTATTTTAAAGAATATTCAGCATTGATGCTACTAATTTATTATTCTGAATTATTCAGCAGACAATCGGCTTAAAATGCTAGAAATAAATATAAAAACTCAGTCTTGTTTGATTTACCACTTTTCACTGAGTTATACTGGTTTAGGGGAATTCCATCTCTTGCTAGTAACCTTCTACAAGTGCAAAATGAAGTTACAAGACTGGGTTTCTGGAGAATAAACTGGTAGCAATACTAAATTTTCTTCAAATCCTGTATACATTTATTTCACTGTGGTGAGTAAAATTTAACTCAAAATACCAATTAAAGAAACAAAAAATGTATCTGCAAATTTACCAAAAGCTGTTTTTCTTTTGGTATAATAAAGAAAGATACATTAATTTGAATAAAGATTGACACTTCCTTAAACTGTAACAAATTAGTTGGGTTTGATTTATTCAAATCTTGAAAGTATTGATAATCTTGTAAAAAAAAAAAATGTGAAAATATTTTGTAACTATGTTTATAATGACTAATTTTCATTGTTACCTAATCTGTGTGTGGAATAATGTAGGGGGAAAGCGATAGTGGATGGTTTTGATTAATCATTAATCAATAAAAATTTATTTTGAAGAAATGTATAAAATGATCAAACTTAAACTCGGACACTTCAAAAGTCAACTTCAGTTTTCATGGAGTAACTAGATTTTTCATCTCGGCAAAAGAAAAGGAGAAGCAAAGTATTGGGTACAGAGACTTCATTCTAAGAAATGTTGAAGTATATAAAGAAAAAAATGGCTGTCTTGGAAAGCATCCAAGTACATTAGAAAAAATATTTAATGTCTAGATGACTATTCCTCCAACTAGTGCAGAGGCAGAGAGAAGTTTTAGAGCAGTTGGTCACTTTGTCACAAAATTGTTCACATCTTTAAGTGATAATACAATTGACAAGCTGTGTTTTCTTCTGTTTTATTTCATGCAAAATAAACAATAATGAGGAGAATGACTGTTCTAAAAAGCACCAAGGAATGTCTGAATTCATTATAAATGATTTTTTAATGTGATGTTTATACCTCCAGTTTATCGTCCATCTGGGTACCTTTTTTAACACTTATCTCATCCAAGTCCCAATCGGCTCCACACTATGAAACAAACAGTCTGACTCTTACTCATCTTTCCCTCTCCCACTACGCATATGGTTCTTTCTCTTTTGGAAATGTGGGCATCACTCAAATTCCTCATTCCTTTAGGATGAGTGCATATGAAATCCCTTCAATGCAACCAATAGATCATGAACAGCGATTTACTGGATTTCCCATTCTCCTTATTCAGTTTCATCATTTTCAGTCTTGAGGGTGGTTAGATTGGAACAGTACTCTGCCACCACTTCGTCCAGAGGTCCATCTCTTTACAGATACCTCACGCCAGGGATGGGGTGCATATCTCACTGGTCAGGAATTCCGGGGCCTATGGATAAACGACGAGGCTTCAATACACAATGTTTTAGAACTTCTTTGCTGTTCAAAGGGCAATGTCTCATGGTCTGGACTTATTAAGGGGAAAAATCGTTAGACTTCACTTCGACAATTCCACGGTGGTGTCTTCCATTTCTTGTCAAGGGGCACTTGGTCCAGGTCTCTCTGCTTTCAAACCTTGGATCTTTTTTCTTGGGCCCACTCCTATGATATCACCCTACTACCTTGCCTGTTCTGAGGGTGATGAATTTGTAGCAGATCAATTTGTCTCAACCTAAATAAACTCTCCAGACAGAATGGATGTTGCATAGTGAGGTTTCCCATTGGATTTACTCTCAGTTTGGAACACTGATGATCACCAATCACTTGTCTGATCTCTTTATAGCAACCAGATTAACAGCTAAACCCTGGTTTCTGCTTCTGCAGTACCTTCAGGATTGTCCACCTCTTCCACTTTCTTTGGCCATCTCTGTTGAGGCAGCCAAGATCTAACATTATACATCTGGCTGTCCTGAAGCTCCAGCTTCATGCATGGAGGTTATGCAGTTCTTCACACAGTATCAAGGGTTAACTTCTAAGGTTACAATATATCTGTCTCAATCTTTGCATGTATCAACAGAAATGGCACACATATTGACAATGGTATATAGAGAGGAGGTTGAATCCACTTTGTTCATAAGTGCCAACCATAACTTGTTGGCTCTTTGACAAGGGTTTTTTCATCTTCCACAATCACCTTATGTAATGTAGCTTTATCAACTACCTTTAGATATTCAAGCTGAATATTGAGTCCCCATTTCTGGTTATTATCCTAAACAACCGTTTCAGTTACTCAACTGGTATATTAAGGTGGTATTTCATGCTCTTTCTCTACATCCATTTAAGCCCTTAGCCTCATGTACCATGTATCACCTTTCCCTTTAGATTTAATGTTTGTTGCTGTGGGCTTGCAGATGTCACTGGTCAGAGTTGTTTGCACTGACTGTGTATAAGACGCTTTATCATTCTACCTATGTCCTCCTATACTCAGGCAGGTTCTTTTCCCAGGGAAGGGGATAAATCCTTTTCACCAATTTATCTGACCACTTTCTCTCACTTCTATGATTGTTTGTGAGTCCAGTGAGGATTTTGAATGTTACATTGCCTGCACTTATGCCTTTAGAGGTGCTAGACAATGACTTTTTATTCTTTGGAATCCTTCAGTTTCCCCCGAACTTAACCCCAGTTACTTTGTCAAGGTGGGTACAGAATTAATCCATATCACTTATTCTGGGCTCTATTTGGAGGTGAGGAGTTTTCAACAAGTCATTTCTCTTAAGATTCATTGCATTTTTATGTCCCTCGCAGCCCGATTGAATTGCCCGCTAGAGGACATTGCATGTGCAGGTATGTGGACCTCCTCCAATACTTTTATCTCACATTATTTGCATGATCTGGCAGTATCTTCCTCTGGGGGTTTTTGACTACTCTGAGTAGATTTCTTAATCTTCTAGATTATAAGATGTGAGGACCATTATTATTAATATTGTCTCTTTTTTTTATTTTCCAAGGTCCTTTACCTGTTTTTCACAGGAACCGACTCTGTAGTTAGTGTTGCCCAAGCAGGTGTGCTTCTATCAAACCAATTTTACACAAGCAACCAATAACATAAAATACTTTTATCTAGGTTGCAACAGGCTCTGTAGAAATGGGGTGTTCCATAAGACCATCTAGAGACACGCCAGTGGTATTACTGTACTAAGCTGGACTGCCACTCATGGACTATCATGAGTAAAGCATATTGGGATCCTGCCCATCCCTACTGATCATTGAATTGAATAAATTAGGGTTAGTTTGTCTTTAACAATTTAAGGAAATTGGTTCACCTATTGCACTATTTCCAGAGCACTGTTCCTTGGGTCTCCCCAACACACAGTATCTCCCTCGTTTCCTATTACTGGAGCTAGGGAGTCCTTACCATGTCTGGTTTCCAGTTGCTGGGATGGTGGACAGGGGCTATTCCTATAGAGTGTTTGAGTGACTTTTTTGGACTCTTTGAAAAGAGGGCAAAGTTGAGGACCCTCCTATTTGGGTCCCTGGATGTTTTTCCCAACCTACGAGGGAGCTTACTCATTATACCAGTTCAGATTTGACACTCAGCTATCTGGTTGGGTTGAGAGTAGCTCTTTATTTTGATCAATATTTGTTCAGTACATTGTTCATGGAAGAGAATCTATTGTCTCCTCATAATTCTGAATGCAGAGTGGTCCCATCCTGGGTCCTTGGTTGAGCACAGTTTGTTCCATGTCCTTTCCTTAATTCCAGGGACAAGTGAAATTTACTTTGCTTGCATGGTTGGGGA